TACTCCTTCAACCAAGCTTCCTGCAGAAATCCCATATTTCAAGCAAGTAGAAGTTTTTGCTTCTGTTAAGCATGTGAATATGTCTGATTAATAAATAAGCTTGAAAAACAAGAGGAGGTACAACTGGAGTGGAGTTGAGGGCTAGAAGTTCTACCCACTAAGCTGTACCCTGAGACATCTTGGAACATCTCAGGTTCTTTTAGAAACAGATGGAAACCCTTGGACACAGCAGTCTTTTTTTACTTGTTTTTTTTTTTTTTTTTGCACCAGGAATTTGAACCCAAGAGTGCTTTACCATTGAGCTGCATCTCCAGCCCTTTCTATGTTTTATTTTGAGATAAGGTCTCACCAAGTTGTTTAGGGACTCACTAAATTGCTGATGATGGCCTCAAACTTGAGATCCTCCTGGTTCAGCCTCCTGAGTCACTGAGATTATAGGCCTTTGCCACCTTGCCCACCTCAGCTCAGACTTTACGAGCCAACTCAGGCAAAAGCTTTTTGGAGTATCGCCTCTCCCCACTGGCCCCTAGACATTTCATTTCCACGTGTAATATTTCTTGATGGAAGGGAAGAAGCTAAGGTAAATGGTGAGGACATTGCGGATGCTAAAATCCAGGATTGGCTGGGCACGGTGGAGCACACCTGTAATCCCAGTGATTTGAGAGGCTGAGGCAGGAGGATCGAAGGTTCAAGGCTGGCCTCAGCAACAAAGCAGGGCCCTGTCTCAAAAAATAAAGAGGATTGGGAATGTAGTTCTGTGGCAAATCATCCTTGGGTTTAATCCCCAGACCCAAAGATAAACAAATAAATAAATAAATTTTTAAAAAATAAAACCTACGATTGGAGAGCTTTGAGGACAACTCAGAGGAGGCTCCAGATTCTGAGACTGTAATCAGCCTGGCTGAGATTCCATAAAATCTCCTAAAATGCCACGTTTCACCGCGGCTGGCAGAGGCTCAGGGTGGAGCCCCAGGCAGCCTCCTTGGCGCCCCCTAGAGGACCACTGCTGCATCAGGGGTGACCACAAATGGAGGGGATAAGAAATTAGATCAAAGTGTCCAGGCTGTCACATCCTACAGGATAGCAAACATGTGGCATATCTGCCTTCCACAACCTTCTTGTTCACGTGGCAGACATTACTAATCCACCATATTCCCTTTCCCCAAAAGTCTAGTATCATAATGCTGAACACAGTTCTTTTGATAGCCACTATGGATGGATTACCATTATCAGGCCACACGAAGGTTCTTTGCCATGCTTCTTGTTTTAAAGAGAGAAAAATTGGGGTTTAAAGAAGAAAAATAAGTCACTCAGGGTCTTATAGCAAGCTGGTGTCTTTCTCAGAACCTGACAAATCTGAAATCCTAATGCTATGACTAGCACAAGGGACCCAGAATGATCCCCGAATGAGAGGAGTTAATACCAAGTTTCTGGAAGAACCCAGCTCTGGGGAGAATTGGTGTCACTGCTCCTATCTCTCCCCTAGACACCAAGCTCTATCACTTGATGGACCAGGGCAGAGTCCCTTTGCCACCTAAGACATCTCTTGGCTAAAGAGAAAGAGAGGGCTGCTTTCCTAAATTATTCTGTCAAGTTAGTACGTGCCGGCCCTAGCCCTGCACAGCCCAGCTGTCCCTGGGTTCACCATTGAGGCTGGAAGTGAGAGCAGGAAGGATCCAGGTTGTGCTGTGGAGGACAGGGAACTTCACTATCCCTGGGCTGCCTGGAAGCTCAGCCCAAGATCCCGTCCTCTCCTTCTAAGTTGGAGGTCAGGGAGGGAGCCAGCAGGAAGCAGGCTCCCTCCCTGATTAGCCACATTTGTTGGCCCTTTGAGCCTAATGACAAAGCCTCATGGGCTGGGACAGGCCATTGCGGGCCAGAAAAGGGGAGAGAAAAGTATTGCCAATCACTTATGCCCACAGGATTTACAGCCTGTGGAGGACGGTACATGAGCCCGACTCCAAACCCACCAGAAGTGGGTGGGAGGCACTCATGGCGAACATCTGGATGGTTCAAAACACCTGGAAGCCTGGTTCAGACTCCAACCTGTCCTGTGACCTCAAGTGAGTTCTTTTCCCATCTTTAACTCCAATTTCTCTGTCTCTAAAACATAAGGGTTGTTAGGGGGTGCATGTGCATTACATGTCTGTCCCTTGTTACAATCGACATTCTGTGAGCATGTGTGTGTCAAAGTATTGATCAGGGAGAGGTAGGTGGGCGCACGACATTGCACCAGCTTATACAGGAGGTATTTATTTTTAGCTGTGCCAGTGGCGCCTGTTGGTGAGTCGGTGTTTATACTGTGCCCCCAGGTGAGTTTGTGTCTGTCCCTGTTTATCTCCGCATACTTATCAACATCCTAAATAACCTCAAAGGCCAAATGTTCAACTGTTTACTTCACATCCTCAGTTCTGCTCGTTCCTTTCCACCATCTTTTCCTATTTATAGCTTATTTTCAGCGAAGAAAGCTGCTGTTCTGAGAAGCAACCCCAGCTATGCTATTGGTTAAGGAATCTTTACAGATGGAGGCCATTAGGTAGCCCTGGGTCCCCAGGCCCCTTCTCTCTAGTTTCCTTTGCACTGGGGAGGAGAGAAGTGCTGCTCAAAATGTAGGCCAGCTATTCCCCCAGAGGAAGGGAGTGGCTGAGATTTGGGTTCTCATGGCTTTAGAGCTGGCCGGGTGCCTGGAGACCGTCTAGCTTGGATTTCCCATGTAACAGATCAAGAAACTGAGGCCCAGAGAGGGGTAGTGTCTTTCCCATCGTCACCCGCTCTTGAGTTGGAACCATGTCTGTTGGCTCCCTGGGCCAATGCTCTCTCTGCTTGCAGGGGAGGGTCTCTCACTCTTGGGACATAGACAAGGTCCTCAAGTCAAAATGTAAACATGAGTTTTTAAAAAGATATGCCTGTCTGTTCTTTTAGTAAAGAGAAGTTCTACGCAGAGCCTGAAACGATGGAGCCACCAGGGGAAAAAAGCTGGGAATCATTTTGCCGGCTCTTTGGATTTCCATAAATCCATCACCTCTAAAAACCCAGAGCATAAAGTGCATTATGAAATGCATTATCCCATTTCATCCATGCAATGCTCTCTTGAGGAGGCTGCCGTTATTGCCCTTTAACCCAGGAGGAAACTGGAACTCAGAAAGGGGACCCATTAGTTCAAGGTCAGATGACAGCTTCTGAGCTCAGCTAAAAGAAAAGAAAAATCTTTGAATACCCAGTTTAGGGAGCTTATCACAGTCCTTGGCTTCCTGGGACACTGGGAGATCTGCACAGGGCCTAGAGCTTTGCAGTCATCCTTGTATGGGGGAGGGGGGAGGAGGGTGGGGACATTGAGAGTGAGCCTGATGTTCTGAGTGTTCCCAGCGTCCCCTCCCAGCCAGCAGGCAGAGACCCTGAAAAAAAAGGTTGCCGTGGTAACTCGCATTCCTCGGAGAGTGAGTCACGGCAGAGAAGAGCCTTTTGGTGGGTGGGACTTGGAGAAAGTTTCAAAAGTTGATTCCTTCTCCAGGCAACCCCCTCCCCCTCCCTCCACGTCCCTGCTCCAGGCTTTGTCGATGTGGCAGCTGATGGCTGCAAGTTAACTCTCTCTTTCCCCAACCACCCCCATTACAGCATTTTTCACCCTCCTGCAAATATAAATTTGTTTCCTTGCCTAGTCCAATCCCCTACATTGGGCCCTCTGGTATTTTGGGGGGTCAGGCACCCATGGGAGAATACCTTAAGCCTAGAAACTGTATCTCCATGTCTCTGTCTCTGACTCTGTCTCTCCAGGGCACATAATTTTAAGGGACTCACAGAGGGCTTGAAACCTACTCAAAGGGCAGTTCATGGACTTCCTCGGAAGTTTCCAAGGACACCCAGCGCCCCAAAGACCAACCCTCTTCCTTTACAGATAACAAAGCTAAATGCAAAGGAGACACTTACCTAAGACAGTTCACCAACCGTGTTCCTGAAGTCCGCCATCCTACCTAGGGGTTGCTTCTCACCAAACCACCAGAACTGGGTATATGGGAATTTAGTCCTAGGGAGCTAGGACTAGGGATGCCAAATAGGGTCCTCCCTGGGGAAGGTGCAGGTCTCTCCGCGTGCTTTTGAGGAGACTCATCTCAGGACACAGGAAGTCCACTGGACACTTGGAGGAGCCAAGGAGGATGAAGAAAGGTGGGGGACACGTCTGAAGATGCCCTAACATCAGACAGGTTGGACCCAGCCCAGTGTGGAGTCTGCACTTCTCACAACAGTGGGGCTTGGGGCCCTAGGGGTCCTACCTGCCCTCTCCCTCCCTTTCCAGGACACCTCCTGCCACACCCTGCTCCCTGTGCCTTGGCTGGATGATATCTGATAAGGAGTTCCTGAGTTGACCATCCCAGAGAGCCCAGGAGGGACAATGGCCAGCCCAGGACTGGCTGTGCCAGGTGCCATTTCAGGCTAACCGGCGTGGGGTGTAGGGGATGGTGTGTGTTTGTGAAGAACTCAAGGGAGACCAGCCTTCCCAGAGCAGGTGCTGATTAAAGGTGAAGCCCCTCCTTTGCCTTTCAGGGGTCAATTTATCATTTGTACAAAGTCCCTTTTGGAAAACAGAGTCCCCCGACCCCGAACAAAGTCTAGGGAGCCGGACTAACTCTGTTTCCGGTCAGGTCCCAGTGGTAGCTGTGACAGGATCAGATTCCCAGGAGAGGAGGAGGGGGCAAAGAGGACAGGCAGGGAGCCTCTGCAAGCAGAGATACGGGCGTGGAGAGAGACACAGAGAGAAAACACTTCCCCAGGGACAGAGATTGTTTCCTGCAGACCTAAAAGGAAAACCAAGTTGCACTGTGCATCCACCTTCTGAAAAAGCAACAGGCACAAGGGTCTGGGATCCTGCCCTCTGGGGCAGTTGGGATGGAGCCCCAGGGAGACACGCATCCCCTAGCACCGCTTCCTGTCCCTTGCTAGAGATGTGGCCTAGAGTGATCTGGGTGGGTGCAGCCATAGAAGGGAACGGCTGTGCCACTTACCTTGGTGGCGGGCAGGCAGCAGGCAGAGCGCACTCGCAGTCTGAAGGTCCGAGGGAATGTGGAGGGGTTTAGAGACAGGCAACAGGAAGCCACTCAGAGCTCTGGGCTGGGTCTATCTTCCCCTCCGCCCGCGGTCCCTCCTCCTTCTCTGTCTCCTCCTTCCCCTGGCCTACCTCCCCCTTCTCCCAGAGCCAAAGCTCTCTCTCTTTTATTTCTTTCTTCCTTTCCTTGCGGTGGGCTGTCCTGACCAGACACCCCAACCCGCCTGCCCCATGTGTTCTGGGGCTGCTGCCTAAACAGCCACACAGGGTGCCAGGGCTGGAAGGGCTCACGGAAACCACCTAGAACAGCCTCGTCCTTGTTCAGAGGGGACTGAGGTTTGGGGAGTGCGAGGGATTCCCCAAGGGCCCCCAGGAGCAGAGCCAGGCCTGAGTGTCTGGACTTGCGAGCAGCGATCTTGACAAGGGGCCGCCCCAGTATTGGGCAATGCCGAGGAGGGCAAAGCCTTTCGAGGGGGTGCATTTGTGACAAAGGCAAGGCCAGCTCTTTTGTCTGTACAGACAGAACAAGCCGCTGGTGGTGACAACATCCTTGATGATTTGGGGTGTGGTCTAAAGAACAACCACTCTAGCTCCTGTTTGCACCGTGGGTAGGGAACAAGAGGGAGACTTCCATCTGAAGACCTGGGTCATGAGCACAGAGAAAATAAGGTGACTGATAATAGGGATAATCGAAGTAGTTGCATAGCCACAGTCTATCGGGAACTTAGTAATCTTCACAACAAACTTTTGATTCTGGGATCGTTATATTATGTCATTTTGATAATCAGGAAACTTAGGAAGTCAAGTAGTTTGCCCAAAATCACCTGGCCAAAGGTGGTCTAAGCAAGCCAATTGTACATTTTCACTGTTTGTTTATTTTTCTTTTTTCTTTTTCAGTACTGGAAATTGGACCCAGAGGCAATTTACCACTGAGCTATATTCCTTTTTATTTTTTATTATTTTTTTTAATTTGTTTTAATTAGTTGTATGGATGCTAATTCCTTTTTTTTTTTTTTTTTTTGGAGACAAGGTCTTACTTAGTTGCAGAGGCTGGCCTCCAACTTGTGATCCTCCTGCCTTAGTCTCCCAAGTAGCTGGGATTATAGGCATGTGCCGCCATGCCACCATGCCTGGCCAATTTGGTTCACTCTTAGGTTACTTGAGCTGCTGCGTGCAATAAATCTTAACTGAATATCCATTGCATGCCAGGCCTTGAGGGGTATAAGAATTAATATCTGCTCCTTGTCCTCAAGGAGCTTTGGACATTGCTGGAAGAACATGCCCTATGCAGTTTCCCCCTGAAACTTTATTGTTTATGAAACAAATGGACAAATGGAGGGAAGGACACAATCATCACGCTGACAGCAGTGAACACAGGGACAGGGAAAGGCTGGCTTCAAGGGTGAGTGGTTTTCAGAGACCTTGAAAACAAGTGACACACTCTAAGGCTTATCCCAGGGCTCAGATTGGTGGAGGGTTCTTAGAAGAGGTGGACCTTGAAGCATGGATTGGGTTTGAATAACATGGAAGGGGAGAAGGCAGAGAATGTTCTCATGACAAATTTCTACATGCCACGGCCCCCGCCTCTCTTGCCATCCTCTCTCCACTATCCTCTTGCCCACTCTGCTCTGTCACACCAACTTCCTTTCAGTTCCTCAGCTATGCCAAAGTCATTTCTACCCAGGATCTTTGTACTTGCTCTTCCCTCTGCCAGAGACACATTTCCATCTAATCTTCCTGTGCCTGGATCTTTCTCATTCTTCAGGTCACCTTTTAATGTCACTTCCTTAGAAAGGCCCTGCTTGACCATTGACCCCCTCTGCAAACTTAAACTGTCTCCCTTCTCTCAGGGACAGTTCATTCCCATACACTGTCCTATTTCCTTCCCACACTCATCACTATCAGAAACTGCTTGCCTCCCCCACTAGACAGAAGCCCATGAGAACAGGAGCTTCGCGGGTCTTGTTCACTGCAGTGTTCCAAGCACGTTGAGTAGTGCAATCACCTATCTGAAGAAAGAGGGCTTGTCTTCTCCTAGGGTTCCAACCTGGAACAGGGTCCAATGTGGGTCTTTAGAGACCCTCAAACCTAATGCAATTATTATGAATATTAGGGAATCTTTGAAATTTTCTACAGAGAACTTCCATGGCTTCCTTTGGGTTCTCAAAAGGTTCAGTTAGGAATCCAAAAGGGAACTTCTTCTCCAAAAGACTCTCCAGGCCTCTCCCTGACCTAAGAGCTTTGGGCTGTAGAATACAGGGTGCTGGAGGAGTCCCCTGTTACCTATTTTGACATTTACACAGGTGTCTACTTTTGTAAGATTGGTTCACTATAGCTCCTAAGCATCATGGGGACTAAAGTTTTATAGGTTGCTTCATAAATTAAGATGATGATTCTGAGGAGGGTGGGCCATGGGAACGATTCCTAGTCTTTGGCAGGAGTTCCCAGGTGACCTTTTGGTTCAGGAATTGGAAACCTGGCAGGGGCTAAGCTGAAGCTGTGTGACAGAGATTCCATCCGGGAGTCATTCGGAGGCCCCTAAAGGGACACCCTGAGCCAGAATCCCTCAGAGAAGGAAAACATGGCAGGTTTTTGTTTCTAGAATGAAAGTTTTCTGGGGAATCAGGAGCCTCTGGAGCAAGGATGATTCTGATCTAGACAGGGAATTGAGGCTGTGCCCCTCTGCCACTGAGTCACAAATGACTTTGAATTTATCCCTGCCCCTGTCTGAGCTACAGATTTTCTTATTCACTTCTTTTCTTTTTTCTTTTTTTTTTTTTTTAGGGGTTATAGGTGGGTCTTTATTTAAAAATATGATCTGCCCATTTATCATTTTGTACCAACTCAGGGAACAGAAAATTTCACAGGTTCCACAATCTTCTCTGTGGGAGCCTTTGTAGCAGTCATTGCTGCCTTTTTAGGTGCATGTTTAGCCTTTTTGGCTTGCTGGGCAATGCTGCTTCCTTGCTCTCATTGAGGCTTTCCCACTTCTGGTTTCTAATTCTTCTTGGCCTTTGTATCAGCAAGAGATGCACCCAGTGAGGGACCCCTGGAATTTGACTACACGTAGGCTTCTTCTCTTTTGAATTTCTTTTTAGCGTACAGTCCAGTTTATCTGTTCTTGGAAAGGAACACCAGCTCACATTGCACATTAAGAAACTGGAAGTGCTTCCCACTGGTCCTGGTGTAGCACCTTCCATGTCTGGGGTAGATCTCATTGTGACTAAAACTGAACAGCTTGATATTCATGACAGCAACTGCTGGGGAAGAAGAAAGACGGCACAGAGAACTGCACTATGTACGTTCATTGGTAAAAAGAGCAGGCAGCTAAATGGTAGCATTGAGAGCCATCATTTATTAAACACCTACGGTACTTTGTGCTGAGCGCTGAGCTAAGTTCTTTGCCTAGATTTTCTGATTAACCCCTATGAAACAGGAACTAATTATTATCTTCATTTTATATATGTAAAAAATGGAGTTCAGATCAATAACTTGTTCAAACATCTGGCAAATCAGGGATTCAAACCAGATTTAAGGAGCACCAGAGTCCAAGTGCTCAACTACTACAGTCAACCTCCTTGTAAATCCTCTTTTAGCTCTGACATTCATAGATTCCAGGCCACACAGCTCCCACCCCACACACACACACACTACTTATATGCATTTTACTTAATCAAGAGGTTTTTTTTTTTTTTTAGTTGTTGATGGACCTTTATTTTATTTTTATGTGGTGCTGAAGATCAAACCCAGTGCCTCACATATGCTAGGCAAGCGCTCTACCACTGTGCTACATCCCTAGCCCCAATCAAGAGCTTTTTTATTGTATATAAACTGTTTTAAGAAGTTTATCTCAGCTTGTTTGTCCTGATATGAGGGAGTTATTTTGGATTTCTAGGCTCAAGACTGTTCTATGACTGCTGTTGCTATCTGATTTCATTCAAAATCTAGGTGGGTGTTTTCATATAAAATCTTTTTTTTTAATATTTATTTTTTAGGTATAGATGGACACAATACAATGCCTTTATTTTTGTGTGGTGCTGAGGATCGAACCCGGGTCCCACCGGTGCAAGGCAAGCGCTCTACCACTGATCCACAACCCAGCCCTAAAATCTTTTTTTTTTTTTTTTAATATTTATTTTTTAATTTTCGGTGGACACAACATCTTTGTTTGTATGTGGTGCTGAGGATCGAACCTGGGCCGCAGGCATGCCAGGCAAGCGTGCTACCGCTTGAGCCACGTCCCCAGCCCCCCAGCCCTAAAATCTTATTTTTATTTATTTATTTATTGGAACCAGGGATTGGACTCAGGGGCGCTTAACCACTGAGCACATCCCAAGCACCTTTCACTTTTTATTTTGAGACAGGATCTCACTGAGTTGTTTAGAGTCTTGCTAAGTTGCTGAGGTTGGCTTTGAACTTGAGATCCTCTGTTGCTGAGATTACAGGGGTGCACCATCACACCCAGCTAAAATATGATTCTTAATTCCTTCCCTGGTCATTTTTCCCCAGTTTCTTTGTTTCACATAATTTTATCTACCATGGAACCAGCATCCTAAAATCACCAATATAAATCCTCCTACTCAAGCATCACATGATCTGCTAGTTAACAACAACAACAAATCCAAGCCCAGTCACAACTGATCCAAATGAACCATCTAATATTGAATATTGAACACAGGGAATGTGTTTTTAACACCTAAAATCCCTAGGAGCTTAAAAGATCTCCCCTCCCTGGGCACACTGAGCTCTGGTGCCATGGTTGTGGGGATGAGGCACCAGAGCTCAGTGTGCCCACTGCCACCCCCACGCAGCCACTTGGCAGTCCTCTCCTTTGTCAAGTATGTCACTGATCCATCTCTAAATTGAATCTGCTTTTCATCTTGCAAAATGAGGAGACAGTATCTTGAGGTCCGTGCTGCCTGCCCAGCACCCAGTGCCACCACTGTACAACTGTAGGAACTGCTTCCCCCTGACTGCCTTCCTCACTAGCACCCAGGCTTAGAATACAGGGTGCTCCACTGGACCATTGCCTTGGGATTGCCCAAAGCACCTGGCATCCAGCTCCCCACACCTCCTAGACCATCAGCTACCTCAT